ATAACTTTTTATAAATTTTGAGGTAAAATATTTTATTATATTATATTTTACATTTTATATTATATTTTATTTAAATCTTGTAAAAAATTTTATGTAAAATTAATTATAACTATTATAATAAATGAGGTGTAATACCTATTCTAAGATTATAAATTAAAAAATTTCCTTTTTAATTAATTAAACTTATTGTAATCTCACTTTCTCCGTACACAATCCACTCTGCCATAGCAGCCACAAAGTGCACGTGGCATTTTTATTAAAGTTCTTTCTACTTTTTGAATCTAGTAAAATTTGAGGACGCGGAGGATATAAATTGGGATTTAGGTATAATAGGAATGTTGGGATCGTAGAATCCTAGACTCCCTCATTAGGCTTAATGGACCGTTTGCCACTGGCCACAACGTGCTGGGTAGACTTACCAATTTTTTACTCAACCCGTTAACCCGCCCGTTTAAAATAGGTTAGGGTTATATATTTATAATCCGTAACCTGTTGGGTTCTCTTAACGGGTCATTAACGGGTTGACCCATTGAGTTAACGGATTTGACCCGTTTACCCGTTTAAAAATATAAAATTTTGTAATTTATTATTTATTTATTTTGTTTTTCAATTCTTAATCCCACCTAAACCTCTAATAATTGACTAATAATTGACTAATATTCTCTAATTAATTAATTGATTCTCTTGACTCATTATCTTTTAGAAGTAAAAATAATCCCACTCCACTCATAACTCACCTCCCAACCTTTCCTATTCTTGCCCTAATACTCTCGAATACTCTAACTCTTCAAACTTCAAACTTCAAACTTTTCTCATATTCTTTGACTTCCATAGTTCATACAGCCTTTGACTTTTAAGCTTCAACTCCACTTTTTCTCTTTAGTCTTTAATATTATTTCAGACTTAGATCTTACTCTTATTGAGTCACCGTTGCGTCCAGTCAGCCTTTTTTTTTTTTCTCCTATGAGTCTGGCAAGTACTCTTTTTGTCACCAACTTTTCTCTCTAAATACTTCAAGGTAAGTTGTTTGCTTATTTATACTTTTTAGTTTTCTTTCCATTCCAAGTAAAAATTTTACTTGATTTTCTCATTTACTTAGATGCAATCAATTGATTATTCTTTGAAAGCAATGATCAAAACAAATATGTTCCAATGGGGTTTGTGTTTTTTGGTTGTCATGCTACTACTG